GTCTAAGCTAGAGGTAGGGGGGAGGTTTTCACTAATCAGTATGATATTACTAAGAAGTTTGTGGATCACTTTAAATCGATTTAGAAAAGACCCTTGGATGAGATGTTGGAATTGGAATGGATAGATTGGCCAAATCTGGATGAAGATCAAGTTAGGTGGCTAGAAAAAATCTTTGAGGAAGAAGATGGTGTGGTTGGATGTTTGGTTGTGTCAGCTCTTGTCACTACTCCATCCTAGTAAATGGGGTGGTAAGGAATTTTTTTCCAACTAATAGGGGTATTAGACAAGGGGATCCACTTTCACCTTTTCTCTTTACCTTGGTAGCTGATGTGTTCAGTCAAATTATCACCAGGGCTGTTAGGGAAGATGTGATAGGGGGATGGAGAAAGGCACAAACCAAATTCCAGTAACTCATTTGTAGTTTGCAGATGACTTGATGCTCTTCTGTGGTGGTGGTTTTAGTGAGAAGGTTGGAAACTTGAAAGAAATGATTAAAGCCTTTGAAGTAGTGTCCAATTTGAAAATCAATTTAGAAAAGAGTTGCTTAGCTGGAGTCAATCTGGACTTTGAGAAGGTTGAGGCTATTGTAAATTGTCTTCAGTGCTCAATTTCTACCTGGCCTTTGTCCTATTTAGGGTTGCCATTAGGGGCAAACCCTAGCGAGAGTAGGTTCTGGACCCCAGTCATAGAGAAGTTTGAAAAGAGATTAGATGTCTGAAGAAAAATTACATCTCTTTGGGTGGGAGGATCACCTTGATGAGAGATTTTCTTTGGGAACCGGGAGAAGGTAAAAAAGGCCACTTAATCAGTTGGGAGGTTGTGGGTAGAAGCTACAAAGAGGAAGGAGGATTAGGGCTTGGAAATGTGCTGAAAAAGAAATCAGCTTTGTTAGGGAAGTGGTTGTGGAGGTGGCCTATGGAGCGAGATAGGTTGTGGCATGAAGTGGTGAAGAGTATTCATGGATGCTCAGAGAGTGGATGGGATGCTGGTGCTTCAAGGAGGGCTAACCTAGCAACACCATGGAAAGCAATTCACAAAATTCTTCTGTAGTTCCTTAGTTGTGCTAGGTATGGTGCTTGTTCCGGTATTTCTATTCGGTTTTGGGAGGACATTTGGGTTGGAGATCTTCCCCTAAAAGACCTTTTTCCACCTTGTACTCCGTTTCTTTGTATAAAAAAGAGATGATTTAAAAATTCTTTCCTTCAATTTTAAATTTGTCTTTGTCTTGGGATTTTGGTTTTTGTAGAGGGTTAAGGGAGGATGAAGTTGATTGTTTGTCTTCTCTTCTTGGTCTCCTCAATAAGGTTTGGTTGGGTCCTTTGAAACCTGATAAGAGGATTTTGGTTTCTCGTGGTTCCTTTTTTAATTTCCTTTGCCAAACCTCCTCTCAACAAAGTTCCCCTTCCAAAGAAGTCTGATGTAGGCCGGTTCCCTCCAAGGTCATAGCTTTGTGTTGGGAAGTGTGGCATGGTAAAGTAAGCACGATGGATAACCTACAAAAGAGAAGACCCTTCCTATGTATTTCTCCAAACCGGTGCACTCTTTGTAGATCTCATGGTGATGACTGTTATCACTTATTGTTATCTTGTAGTGTCACTGCAGAGCTCTGGGTTTGGCTTCTATCATTGTTTGGGTGTAGATAGGATATGCCAACAGAAGTAAGTACATCTTTAACCCTTCTATGTTCTACTGGCCCCATAAAAGAGGAAGGAAAATGTGGAGGTGTGCACGAGCAGCCTTGTTATGGACAGTTTGGGAAGAAAGGAATGCCAGGACCTTCCAGGAAAAGGAGAGGAGCAGTCAGGCCTCGGAGGGATTGGTTATCAGTAGCAAGCTATTCCTCCTCCAAGGTAAAGGTAATGACAAGCTGGGTCCCCCCCCTCCTCACAGTTCTTTGAAGCTGAATTTTGATGGAAGTAGGCAGGGCAACCTGGGTCCCTCTAGATTGGGAGGTGTACTGAGGAATGAGGCTGGAGAGGCTGTCTTACTATACATTGGCCCTTTAGGTGTTGGGAACTCTATTCGGGCAGAGCTGTTATCTGCAATACAAGGAATTATTCTTGCAAAAGAAATGGGTGTGGAGCAGCTTCTGGTTGAAGGGGACTCTAAGACAGTGGTGAACTGGTTAAATAGTCCGGAGGATGTCACGTGGGACTACAAGAATGAGATAAAGAAATTCAAATGGCTGACAAGGAATATGTCTGTAACAGTACAGTGGGTTGGGAGATCAGCTAATGTATTTGTTGATGTCTTGGCAAAACAAGGGACAAGCAGGGAAACATTGTTCTGGGTTGAACTGTAATTTGCGCTTTTTAACAGTCATGCACTTTTTTATGTAGTTTTTGTGTTTTCTGTATGGAGAGGCTGCACCTGGTGCCTCTCTAAGGGGATTTTCATGTAACCAATCTTTGAATTAATGGAATATGCTGAGATGGATGTGTGGAAAAATTATAAATGATAGGGTCAGAAATGAAGTCATTCAAAAGAACCTAGGATTACCACCTGTAACACGGATGGTTGGGTCATGTTCATAGAAGAACAACAACAGCACCTGTAACAAGGATTGATCTGTTGCATGTTGAAGGGCATGTATCGAAGTCATTAGAAATAATTAAGTGTCCATAATTTAGCAAAGGATATGACATTAAACAGAATGGAATAGTGAAACAGGATTCACGTTTTTGGCCCCGTATAGTGTGACAATTCCTGGACAATGATGATCGAGAAGATTAAGTATCTTAAATAGGAATCTGTAATTATCTCCTTTTAAGCTTTTAGCCTTCTTCTCTTCATTATATATGTTCTTGTCATATTGACTTTTGTCTTTTTAAAGATAAATAAAAAAAATAAACTTTATTATGGAAACTGATTAAAGAGGCTACATCAGGGTGATAAGCAATCACCCAACAAAATAAACTTCACCCAAGATTTTACTAATCTCCACCTCTTTGTTGAGCACCATTTCCATATCCACTACTCTCTCAATTTTGTGAGTCTCCTATCTATAATTACTTCCTCCTCTGTAGCCGGAGCTGCTCCACCCTCATCGCCTAAATCCTCCCTTTTCACCCTTCTTAACATTCTTCTCTACTGTTTCACTAACAATCTTGGGATCATATCTTCCAACTTAGGCCCTATTTGAATGTTGTCCCCCTCTCCTTCCCCTCCATATTATCTTCTTCCCTAGGCTGTTCTCCCTTCCTTTCCCTTCTTTTTCTTCCTTCGACATTTCCAACTTTTTAATATCAACTTCTCTTACCCTATCTTCTTCTTTTGAGGAAGACGTAGATGAAATGGATAATGTATTGGATAAGGCCCAATAGCTCAAGTCGTGACGTTGGGGGCCATCAGACTCATGGGATTATCTGGCGAGTTGCTAAAGGCCCTCTGAATTCCACCTAGTTCAAAGCAATTGTCCTTGTTACCTGTCCCGCTCGTTTTACATGTTTTATTGCATAACCTAATCAGGTCTAACATGGTACCCGATTTTAATACTTCATTGTTCTTTTGTTTCTCGAGATTATTCTCCTCCTTTTCAAGACCATTTAAAATTTCTAACCTATCCAAGGAATAAATATTTCCTCTTTCCTTCCATCCGTTCTTCCATACCAGGTGCATTTGTCAATAGTCTCCCTTCCATTCCTTTGTTGCCATGGGGCCTCCACCCTGTTGCATCAGCTTCATCTCCAACCTCTCAACCATAGTTGTCAAGGCATCACCTAGGCGACTAGGCGCCCTTGGCTGGGTGCCTCACCCAAACGCCTTGACTTTTAGCAACTAGGTACCCTTCTAGGCAACTAGGCGCCCGCCTGGGCGACTAAGCGCCCGCCTAGGCGACAAAAATGACAAGGCAGGCGCCTTTTATAATGACATTTATATTGATGTGTCTTATTAATGTATGTGTTACTACATTTTATTATATGCTATATATATCAATTATACTTTGTTTTAATGTTTTACTATTGAAATTTAAAAGATCAAAGGGTTTTGAGGAGAGAAAAAGAAAAGGAAAGAGAGGAAAGAAAGAATAGAATAATAAAGTTCTTTTTTTTTCTATTATCTCTCTCTCTAATTAAATTAAACAGAAACTCCATCCTTGTTTTTTTTCTATTTTACTTTCTATCTTGAATATTTATCATATAAAGTTAATAACCTTCTTTAGCTGCTAATTAATATGAATTTGCTCTATTAAATACTTATTATAGTAGTATTATTTTTGAAAATAATGAAATTAATACATGTAAAAGATTTTTTATCTTTTAGATGTAATGATTTGCCACATTTTTAGAGGAAATTTAATGTTCTTAATAAAGATAATTGCTATTTTTTCAATTAACAAAAATGTTGAATGGTATATAAAACTAGGAAACTAGCCAAAAGTCAGTTTTTTATATTATAAAACTTTTATCACCTAGGCGCCCGCCTAGGGGACTAGGCACCCCAATGTCGCCCAGAATCTCCTAGACACCTTGAAAACTATGCTCTCAACCTTCTACCCAAAGTGACGCTTCATGTTCTGTCACGTCCCAGACCTTCGTCCAAACACTATTTGAGATTTCTACCATTGTGGAATCTCCTCCAGCTTCACTTTGGCAATTTCTACCATTGTGGAACTGAGATTCAAGATGTTACAAGACATGAAGACACCTTCAATGTTTCATTCCTTCATCCTAATAAATATCTTTTTAAAAGACAAAATAAAACTATAAAATCATTTTATTTTCAAATTTTCATTTTGAATATGTTTTACATGTTATATTTATATATTTTAATTTGAGATAATTTGTTTTTTAAACATTTATTTAAAATTTTAATTTACATCTTAACTAATATTGTTTAATAGTTTCAATTTTTTATTTTTCTTTCTGCATTTATCAAACTTTGGCTTTTTTTCATTTTTGCACGTTTCTTTGAAAAATGTGTGTCTTGCCTTTTGCTTATAAAATATTGCTGTATTATGATATGATAAGTTCTGATATTGCCTGAGGATTTTGTTCCAGGAGCGATTGCTTGAAGTTGGATGCAGAAGGAACTCAACTGAGCCTGTAGTTAATTCTATTTGGCCTTCTTTTATTCTGGGTGATACCCTTAGGATTGTTTTCCAGAACTTGCTCTTGGAATCAAACGAGGAGATCCTTCAATGTTCAGAGAGGGTTTGGAGGCTCCTGCTTCAGGTTTTTGATTGTTACCCATTTATGCATTTTAGTAGAAGTTGCAATTTTTTTCTCTTATCATCATTATATCATTTTTACCAGTGTCCGGAGCAGGATCTGGAAGCTGCAGCAAAATCATATTTTTCATTTTGGGTAGAGCTTGCAACTACTCCGTATGGTTCGCCCTTGGATTCTTCAAAAATGTTTTGGCCAGTTGCCCTTCCTCGGAAAAGTCATTTTAGAGCTGCCGCTAAGATGAGGGCCGTAAAACTTGAGAATGAATGCAGTGGACAATTTAGTTATGATTCTGCCAAAGGAGCTATTTTGCAAGAAAGAAAGGGTGATGCTTCTGCAAATTTTGTTAAAATAATAGTTGGCACAGATGGTGACAAGTCTGTGACTCGCACACGGGCAGTAACTGCTGCAGCATTAGGCATTTTTGCTTCTAAACTGCCGGAGCGGTCTTTGCAGTATGTTTTTGATCCACTGTGGAAGGATCTAGCCTCTTTATCAGGGGTCCAAAGACAGGTAGGTCCACATGTTTGTTATAATTTATCCTTTACTGGTTTTACACTAAGATATTGATTTTCTACAGGTTGCTTCCATGGTTCTTGTTTCTTGGTTCAAGGAGATCAAGAGTAGGCATGTTTCTGTAAGTTACGGAGTTATGTCTAGTTTTGTTGGTCGTATTAGAGAACGGCTGTTGGATTTGTTGGTGTGTTCCGATCCAGCTTTTCCTACAAAAGACTCACTTCTTCCATATTCTGAGCTTTCAAGAACTTATTCCAAGATGCGTAATGAGGCCAATCTATTGTTTCATAAGGTCAATTCATCTGGTTTGTTCAAGAGCATGTTGGCAGCTACTAAGTTTGACTTGGATACCCTAAGTGTTGATGATGCGATAAGTTTCGCCTCAAAAACTGTGCTGCCCACTGAGGTGGATACTACTGAAAGACATATTCTTGATGATATAGAATCTTCTAAGCAAAGACTTCTGACAACATCTGGCTATTTAAAATGTGTTCAGGTATGCCTCTGTTGTGAGATTTGAAATTTCTCATATTTTTTGTCTAGTAATGGTCAGCAGTTTCTTGTGCTGGTATTTTGATGCTTACATGAAACTAGTACTAATATGTTTCACCTTCCTTATATGCTCTCCTTGCTTGGAACTGTACACAGAGCAATTTGCATGTTACTGTCTCTGCATTGGTTGCAGCAGCAGTTGTATGGATGTCTGAGCTGCCTGCTAAACTCAATCCAATTATACTACCTCTAATGGCTTCTATAAAAAGAGAGCAGGTAACAACTCCACAAGTTCTCTCTCTCTTGTTTCAAATTGTATAGGAATGTGTGCTTTGTTTTTTTAATATTGCTTTTGACCAAATAATGCTAGGAGGAAATTCTTCAAGAGAAGGCAGCTGAGGCGCTTGCTGAGCTTATTTATCACTGTATCACACGTAAACCTGGTCCAAATGATAAATTAATTAAGAACCTTTGTAGTTTGACATGTGTGGATCCTTGTGAGACACCTCAAGCTGCCATAATAAATTCCATGGAGATTATCGAGGATCAAGATCTGCTGTCTTTTGGGAGAAATATCAGTAATCAGAAGACAAGAGTTCATTTGCTAGCTGGAGTGGAAGACAGGTCAAGGATTGAGGGCTTTATAAGTAGACGTGGATCAGAGCTTGCACTTAAACATTTATGTGGAAAGTTTGGAAGTTCACTATTTGATAAACTTCCAAAGTTGTGGGATTGCCTAACTGAAGTTCTCAAGCCTGGAAGTGTGGAAGGGCCTACTTCTACGGATGATCATCGATTGAAGCTTGCAATTGCCTCTGTTAAGGATCCACAGATATTAATAAACAATATCCAGGTTATTATTGTTTCTGATTTCCATGTCCATCACCTTTATTTTGAATGACATTTTGTTCTTTGTTGATTATTCTATATCCATCCTTGCAATTACCTTTGTTCTCGTGGAGTTTAATGTTCTCTATCTTATATATGTGATGCTTTCCAGGTGGTTCGCTCCATTGTGTCTATGCTGGATGATACGCTAAGACTAAAATTGCTCACACTTTTACCTTGCATCTTCGAATGTGTGCGGCATTACCATGTTGCTGTTAGATTAGCTGCTTCAAGGTGTATCACCTCAATGGCTAAGTCAATGACTATACACGTCATGGGAGTTGTCATTGCGAAAGTTATTCCTATGTTGGGCGATTCAACTTCTGTTCATGCAAGACAAGGAGCTGGGATGCTTGTAACTTTGCTTGTTCAGGGTTTAGGGGTGGATCTTGTCCCTTATGCTCCTTTGTTAGTTGTCCCTCTGCTAAGGTGTATGAGTGATTGTGATCATGCTGTCAGACAGAGCGTGACACATAGTTTTGCTGCTCTTGTACCACTACTTCCATTAGCTAGGGGCCTTCCGCCACCAGCTGGTCTGAGTGATGATTTATCTAGAAGTACAGAAGATGCACAGTTTCTTGAACAACTGTTGGATAATTCCCATATTGATGATTATAAGCTTTCCACTGAACTAAAAGTAACATTAAGGAGGTACTTGTTAACCTGTTTGTCTTTTCTGCTACCCATTTTTAACTATATCTGTTAGTCAATTCCCTTTGTTTTCTTACATTGTATCATAATTTTAAGTTTGTTAGGCAAACACAACTCATTGCCAAAGACATAGGACCCTAATGGAAGTCATTTTAGCTACTGGAGAGAAGATATCCATATAATTTAATCCCATACACTTGAGTATAATCCTTGGCAACAAGGTGGGCTTTATATCTCTCAATCGTACCACCAACATATACTTGGTATAAACCCACTTACATCCAACTAGCTCCTTCCTAGAAAGCAAGTCTACAATGTCCCAGAATTGTTCTTATGAAGTGATTCTATTGCAGTTCTTATGGCACCTCTCCATTCTAGTTTAGATAAGGCTTTGGCTACAGTTTTGGAAATGGGTTGGGAGGAAATAGAGGCTAGGAAGGAAAAGTGGGAAGGGGGCAAAAGGCTTTAAGAATAAGCAGTGGGTAGGTCAAGGTTTGGGAAGGTAGGTATTAGAGATAGCAATGTAGGACTTGTCCTCTCTTCAACTAGAGATGGGGGAACATGTGTATGCTTGTGCCTTAGCCGTTGGTGCCTCCTCTAAACAATAGGATGTGTTATGAAAATAGGAGGGTTTGCAGGAGGAGGTGGAGAAACAGGAATATGAGAGTTAGGAGGAGAAGAAGACTTAACCAAGGGAACAGAAGAAACTATAGAAGATTCAACACGAGGTTCAACTATAAAGGACTCCAAGGAGCTCTACCCCTCAGTATGCACAACATGGAAGGGAAAATCAAATCTTCTTTAAATAGTGAGGTGTGAATTTCTAAAAGGTTTACTCGATTGAGAAGTAGGGCACTCTAACATGGATAAAGACATTGGCAAAAATCTGGGAAGAAGATATTCAAGGAAGCAAAAGATAAATGACTCTGGTTTTTATTACAATGACTCTTATGCTAACTTGACTGATTCAATAAACTTGTGCCTTTGGAAACTTTAGAGTTCAGAAGCCATTGAATCCATAATATAGAGACCATCATTCATGTGTCCTCTACCAATCTTTCTCCCCAAAGCCAAATCCTGAAACACACAAGTTTTGGGGAAAAAGGTTATTAAACAATTCAAGGACTTTGTAATGAAACTAATATAGAGAAGACTGATGGACATCTTGAGAACATGGTAAACATCAAATAAGTAAAGGCCCATAGGTAGGGAGATAACTTCCTACCTCGTAATAGTAGGAGAGAATTCATCAACAAGTTTAACTTTACCAGTCATGTGGTTTGTGGACCCTGCTTCAATGATCCAATGTGATTGAGAAGTGAAGTTGAGACATAAAGAGTATGGTACTTAGAAGACCATGCTCAAACTGTTTGACAACATGCCCAAACTGGTTAAATTGATCATGCATGGTACTTAGAAGACCTTTAGATATAGAGCCCATAGGTTGAACTAGAGAGGAGATACTTTGATTTGGTTGTTGCTGACTTTCTTAGTTGCAAAGGAGGCAATAATAGCTGCATTAGGCCTTGTACTTATGCTTCCGTTGGAACTTCTTAGGCTTACCAGTCAAGTCCAAACAAAATTCTTTTGTGTGGCTAGACATCTTACAATGGCGCCACCAAAGCTAATCCCTATCATTTTCACCCTTCTTTTGCAGTCTTCCTACTTTCCTCAGACTGAATCAATGCAAAAACCTCTTCAAGACCTGGAAGCACTTGACCATCCAAAATCTGAACACAGATAGGTTCATAATAAATAGAATTCAGACCTGCTAGAAGCCAAAAAAATTTCTTTCTTAGGAAATCAACTCTCTATAGGCTGGAGCATCTTCCTCACCCTACCAGTTAATAGTCTTGTAATAGTCCAAGTGTCCAACTCCTTCCACATGCAAACCGTGCCGTGACTCAATTTGGAGGTGGTAGATCCAAACAAAATGTCTTTGTTCTGAATATATTTATTTTGCTTGGTCCCAAATCTCCTTGGCTATTTCGGCCCACATAAAATTCTAAGAGTAAGCTGAATTGAAGATGTAAGTCATGACATAATCATATAACTTTTTTGCTCCCACTTCTCATAATCAGCCCCTTCACTAGCAAGTTTATTAGTGTTCCCAATGAGATGCCCCAACTTTCCCTTGGGTCCATCAATCATCTTCACACTCTTGGACCTTTCCTAGTAGTTTAGTCCATCAAGAAGAACAATGGACACAAGTAAACCCATGCTGCCCATTCCACCACCAGAAGCAACTTACCCTCCAGAAGAGTTTGAATTAACAGAACCCTCTGAAGATACTTCTGTAACACTACTTCCAACCTCCTTTGTTCTTCCAAAAGGAAAACAGCAACACTAAATAACAAACACACTCCTTTTCAGGTCAAACAGGCACATGACTGTAACAATTGAAGAAAACAGCACCACTGCTTTCTGGGAGGGTCAAAACTGATCTAAAAAATACTTACTCACGACATGCTAATACTTGCACCATGCAACCACTGCCACTGTAACTCATTAAGTACAGTCTGAGCAAACTTGCTAGAACTCTGGTTTTTATTTCAGCAAATAGAAAATACCAACCCCACATTAAAAGCGAGGTCTGGTCACCTTTCAGCACCTTCTTGAACTATAACAGGCTTCCACAAACACTGTCCAGATTGAACTCAGCAAGAAATTTTCCTTGCAGTCCAACAGAGCCTTCTACATGCTTCAATCTCTTCAGAAGCAACCCAGTAATAAACCTTTCTCTTACAAACAAGGAGGCAAAATGGGAGAGAGAAAAGAGACGATCAATCAGATCTCTAGTCCTTCAAGTTGTTGAAGTGATCAGGCATGAAATATAGAAGAGAGTCAGAAAGAAAGCTACATTCTTTTCTGACAGATTATGCTCTGATACCATGTAATCTGTCAGAGAATATCTAGGGAAAAAAAGAGAAGAAGAAAGAATCATAGAATGTAAGAGATTTGAAAAAGAATCTGTCTTGGTTAAGTGGTGGTGCCCACTTTACCTATTATATTATGATCATTATGAAAATAGTGTTATTTTTATATGCAATTTGAGGTTCCTAAATATCTTTATCCAATCTTGTGTTTATTCTTGCATTGAACCTGGTGATGCATATCTCCTGTTCATTATTTAGAACGTGAAGTGTTATTGAATGGATCGGTAGTTTGGTCTTTGAGGTTTATAATTTTTGTTGCTTCCAGGTATCAACAAGAGGGTATAAACTGGTTAGCTTTCTTGAAGCGTTTCAAGCTTCATGGAATCTTATGTGATGATATGGGACTTGGTAAAACACTACAGGCATCGGCTATTGTGGCATCTGACATTGTAGACCGTCGTTCTTCAATTGATGGCAAGGATCTTTGGTCCCTAATTGTTTGTCCAACTACACTAGTTGGACACTGGGTATATGAAATAGACAAGTACATAGATTCATCTGTGGTGATTCCTCTCCAGTATGTTGGTTCTGCCCAAGAACGGATCTCTCTCCGCAGTCATTTTGATAAGCATAATGTTATCATAACTTCTTATGATGTGGTCCGTAAAGATATTGATTATCTTGGACAGATTCCCTGGAATTACTGCATATTAGATGAGGGACATATAATTAAGAACTCGAAGTCTAAGGTTACTGGTGCAGTGAAACAGTTGAAAGCTGAACACCGTCTTATATTGAGTGGAACACCCATACAGGTTTGTTTTATTCTTGGCATTGATGGTTAAAATGGTTGGGTAGAAAATAAAATGCAATCTTGAAATTCTAGGTTCTTTTTGACAAATATTTAATTTGTTTTTCAGAACAACATATTGGAGTTATGGTCCCTCTTTGACTTCTTAATGCCAGGGTTTCTTGGAACTGAGCGGCAAGTACGTATTGATCTTTACCTTTAATATATAACTTGCTTTTTTTGTCAGTTATCATCTAAATATTTGTTGCATTGATTATATTTCTTGTTTGTTAACAAATGTTCTTTAACAAATAATATGAGAGAATGGCCTGTAACAACAAATTAGAGATCAAGTGAGACATACAAGTAGTGCATTGAGCAACAGTGAGCATGACATTAAAGTTTCAATTCCATAATGAATTTTTATATATTATTAACACGTTTTTTGGGCAATGACCTTGCTGCTTTAGAAATTATTTTGGTCCAATTCTGATGACTGGAGGTGTTACAGGAGGGAAGTTTGTTTATTTTCTGCTACATTACGAACAACTTGAATACTAGAATTGTTTTACTGGAATAGAGTGACGGACAATCAAGAAGCAACATGTTTAAAAAAATGAGTGTAGCTGAAATGGATGCATGGTAAAATTAGAAAGGACAGTATTATAAATGATAGTTGACCCATGTGATCGGACTTAGATGGTGATGATGATAATGACAAAGATTATAAGTATTGTTATTAGAGTCTAGAGAAGACTAAGGAGTGCCGCCAGTTGGTGACAAAATGAGCGACAATTAATTGAGATGGTTTGATTCTACAACTAGTGAGTGACTTGGTTCAAGTAGAAATCTCTAGAAGAGCTAGGGTAAGACCAAGGAAACATAAGTGACGGTAAGAAATCATGTAAATTGTAAAGCTTACATTTGAAAGCAAAACATGGATTATGATTGAGATCAATTGTGGGGCAGGATTTGTGTGGCTAAAATCTAAGTGAAATAAATGATTCTCCATTTCTTTCTAGAAAAATATGCATTTGACATTGGTCTAGTTATTTTACTTTCTAGAGAAATATTCTTTCATATGGCATTCATCCAAGGAGCCTTTTCATCCAATGACTGCAATCTTGGGAGAGCACTGTTGAACCCTATTACCTCATTTGGAGGGACATCAAGTGAGCAAAATACTGTTGTATTGAAGAAATAGGGAAAAAAAAGAAAGAACTTACCTTAACTTTCCCTGAGAGAACCAAAAACACTCGTTGCTGGAGCAAACTTAGATGTGGGGACCAGTTGGTCAAATGCTTCACTTTGACTTTGACAAACTGTTGACGGTCCCAAAAATCCATAAATGTTTACCTCCCTTGATGAAAGCCTTTATGCAGTCTGATTAGTTAGAGGATCACTTCTACACCTCTTAAGCTTCAATATATCCAAAGTGGAAGAAACTTGGATCTAAGAGACCAGGCCTGATAGAATGGAGTTCGATGAGATAACAACCTGGAGAAAATTTCAAAGAGCTGAGGCAAAAGCATTCCTTTTTGAGAGATGAAAAGTAAAGGGGAAGATCACACTGAAGATCAGGGAGTTGCGGAAAGCCATGGTTATGCTGGTTGGGACTGCTGTGATTGAATGGTTCAGAAACTTTGTGGAAAAGGCAATTCAAACAGACACAGAAGCAGAATGGAAAAGTTCCAAAGAAGGAGGTGACTGAAGATACTTTGCTGAAAGAAGATGGAACAAAAAGGGAAGGTTCCTTGTGTTGGTTGAATACTTCGGAAGAGGGAAGAAGCAGCTAGTTTGTATCCCTGAAGGGAAAAATAGATCAAGTTGGAGTGAGTGGTCATTTCTGGGTATTGATGGGGTTGAAGCAGGGGTAGAGTGAACCTTACCCTGAAAAGGAAAAAGAAACTGAAAGTCATTTCTTGGTGAATGGTCTGGGTATTGATAAAATGGCTTACAATACAGAAAAGGTAGTTTGGGAAAAGAAATTGGTGGTTGAAGTTGAAAAAAAAACCAGAAAACTGGAGGCTTATCGCAGAAGACTAGTTAGAAATTTGAAGGTAAAAGGACCAAGTTTACCCCTTTTGAAGATCATAAAGCTCTTTTAGATTTGATGGGAGACGAGCTAGATATCAGTACATTGAGTCTAATATTGAAGACAGGGGCGGCTACAGTGATGAGATGGTCCCCTAGCTCAAACTCAAAAGACTTCTCAGTGGAGGATGGTATAACCATTCCATTCAGATTGTTGGTCTCCCTTTCCACTTGTGGAAGAGGGAGATCTTCCACTCGATTGCTTCTACACCTCTTAACATGGAACTCAAAGTGGACCAGGACCCAACTTAGAGCTAAGGTCACATGCCACTTTAAGTGACCACGTGATGAGAGAGGCAAAGAAAACAGGAGATGATAAAAGATGTCTATCATCGTCCCAGTCTTAGCCCTGTTCGAAGGTTCAATCTGTTAAGGCTGCGGAAAAACTGTTTTGGAGGCCGAGGCTGGTCTCCTACTCCACCAGCCCTGAACGACCAAGTCCGAGGTATAGCAGAAGCAAAGAGGAAGAGGATGAGTTTGATTCAGATTGGGTAAACTTTGAAGGGGAAAAGACTGATGTGGAAATTTCTGGAGGTTCCAGTATAGGCAGCGTCAAAAGTAGGTGTGGCATAAGTTTCTTGGAGGAAACGGAGATGGGAACAAGACTTCTATTCGAACCTTCTTCACCAGCACCCTCTGGACTTCTTTTGGGAACTCAGAAGAGCTACGGTGCAGTAGTTCCTCACCTGGGCAAGGATAATACCTTGGTCAAAGATGGAGCAGTTCCTATCCCTGTCCAGAGATATAGCCAAGTGTTAGTAGAGTGCCTCCTTCTCAGCATTCAGCAAGCAAAGCTACTGGATTATCCTCATCCCCGGCTTTCCCTTCAAAGGTTGGTTTGGAGGAGAATCCCCGACTTAAAATCCCTTTAGTCCAGTCTTTTGTGGAGATTAGTGCAGACCCTTTGAAGCCCGGTATGCTGTGCCAATCCTCTTTAGTTCCTTTTTGTGTTTCAACTAATCCTATTCTCTCCGGTTGTCTTGCCTGTTCAGCCTACAGGTGTCTCCAAGTCCTGCCCAACAGCTGTCGTTCCTAGTGACTCGGTGGGAGTAACAGATGAGATAGGGGTCGGTGAGGATGTAGAAGGGTCTAAGGAGGAAGGGGAGAGAATTTGAGAATTAATAGTGATCCTTTTCAAGCAGTTGATAGAGGTGGAAATTTACTCCAGGTTGGGATCAGAAGAGGGGACGGAACTGATTGAGACTACTTCTATGGAAAAGGAGAGGGAGATTAATAAGAGTGGTGCTGGAACTAAAAAGGCAATTAAAAAACTTAGCAAGAATAAGAAAAAAGGACAAGAAGTAACTCGGTTAAAAGCTTTAAACAAGGGGGAGGGAGAGAATTCTAGAACAAGAAGAAAAAAGATGAGTGGAGTCGAAAGACTTAGGTGTGGTGTGGATTATGAAAGAGGAGGTACAGGAAGGAAGGAATTGAGAGACTACCAAAATGAAAGTTCAACCTTTAATGTCATAAGATTCCTAAATGAAACTACCAATTCAAATCATAGGGTGACCTCTAGCATGAGAAAGTTCAACCTTTTTGTGGACTCATATGAATTGAGAGAGCTACCTATGTTGCAAGCAAACTTCACTTGGTCCAACTTCCAAGAAGAACCCCTGTGTTGTAAATTAAATAGATTCTTATTCTCTTCAGAATTTGAATCTGCTTGGAGGGGACTAGCAATGAGGGCTCTTCCTAGACCTACCTCAGACCATTGTCCAGTTAGGTTATCCCAAGAAAACATAGGAGGGGGGCCATGTCCCTTCTGGTTTGAGAACATGTGGTTGCTACATCTTGATTTTATAAAAAAGGTTCAACTGTGGTGGGAAGAAGACCAAATGGAACTCAGATGGAAAGAGTACAAGTTATATAAAAAGTTGCAGGCCCTAAAAGCTAGAATCAAAGCTTGGAACAAGGAAGAATTTGAAGAGTGGAAGAAAGAAAAGAGTGGATTGCCAATAGGATTCAAGAAATTTATGGAGGTGAGGCAGAGAGGAGAATGACAGTACGAGAGAGGGAAGAGCATTGGAAGCTGAAACAGGAATTGCAGGAAATCATAAGGAAAGAGGAGATAAGTTGGAGACAAAAATCTAGGTGTAAGTGGCTGAAGGAGGGAGACGGGAATACCAAATTTTTTGACACCTTAGTAAATGGAAGGAAGAGGAAGAATTTTGTGGGGAGGCTGGAATGGAATGGGGAAGTGATTACAAGTGAGGAGGAGATATCAAGAGCCTTTGTGGAGCATTTCAAATCCATTTATGACAGCCCAAGAAGAGAGAGAGAGATGAAATCCCTGACCTTGATTGGCTACCTGGGAATAGAGTTTCGATGGATCAACTAGAAAAGAATTTTGAAGTCCAAGAAGTAAGAGATGCTATTTTTTCAATGGAAAGATCTAAAGCCCCAGGCCCATATGGTTTCACAATGGCCCTTTACCAAGATTGTTGGGATATTATAGGTGGTGATTTAATGGAGGTCTTCTTGGAATTCTTTGAGAGAGGTAAGATAAATTCGGGTGCCAATGCTACTTTCATAGCTTTGATTCCTAAAAAGATAAATGCAAACCACCCAAAGGATTTTAGGCCCATAAGCCTAATTGGGAGTATGTATAAGGTTATATCAAAGGTCTTGGTAGAAAGAATCAAAAAGGTACTACCTTCTTTGATTTCTCTGAACCAAGGGGCATTTGTGTCAGGAAGACAAATTATTGATCAGATTCTTATTGCCAATGAATGTGTGGATTACAGAAAAAGACAAGGAGAAAAGAGTCTAATTTGCAAACTAGATTTGGAGAAGGCCTATGATTTGGTAGACTGGGACTTTTTACTGGAAGTATTGAGAATCAGAGGATTTGGAGAACGGTGGTGCATGTGGGTTAAGGGCTATATCTCTTCATGTCACTACTCCATTCTAGTAAATGGGGTGGCCAAGGATTTCTTCCCGGCAAAGAGAGGATTAAGACAAGAGGACCCTCTTTCTCCTTTCCTTTTCACCCTGATAGTTGATGTGTTGAGTGTCCAGATTACTAGAGCCAATGCTAGAAATTTGATTAAAGGGTGGAGAGTAAGGAGGGATGAAATAGTCGTAACCCACCTTCAATTTGCTGATGACTTGATCCTCTTTTGTGAAGGAGATCCAGAGGAGTTGGAAAATTTAAAGGTCTTGGTAGAAAATTTTGAAAAGGTCTCCAACTTAAGAGTAAATTTGAATAAAAGTTGTGTAGCTGGAATTAATTAGCAAGAAGGTCAGGTGGCATTGTTGGCTAGATCTCTAGGTTGTGAGGTAAGTGAATGGCCCCTTAAGTATTTAGGCTTACCTTTGGGAGGAAATCCGAGGTCTGTTAGCTTTTGGTACCCAGTCTTGGAAAGATTCTCAAAAAGACTAGCGGGTTGGAAAAGGAACTACATTTCTTTGGGGGGTAGAATCACTCTAATTAAGTCATCACTAGCAAATTTGCTAGTGTACTTTTTGTCTACCTTCAAATTGCCTGTTAAGATTGCAAATCAGATTGAAAAAAAAAATGAGAGAGTTCCTATGGGAGCCTGGAGATACCAAAAAGGATCATAGGGTAAAAAGGGAAGTGGTGTCTAGAAAGAAAGACAAAGGGGGTTTAGGGATTGGAAATATTAGAATAAGAAATGCAGCTTTGTTAGGCAAATGGTTATGGAGGTTTCCTAAGGAACAAGAGAGTCTATGGCATAAGGTGATAAGAAGTATTCATGGAATGGCAGCAAATGGATGGGACGCTGGACTCGACCCAAGGGCTTCGCGTTTTCCCCCATGGAAAGATATTGTTGGTATCTTGCCTTTCTTCTATCCTTTCATCAAGTATGATGCTTGTGTGGGTAATAAAATTCTTTTTTGGGAGGACTTGTGGATTGGGGAACCTTCTCTTAAGGATAGATTTCCGAACCTTTATTTCCTTTCTTTGAAAAAATCTCAATTTATTTCTTCTTTTCGTATTCCAGGGGATTCTTGGGATTTGGGACTAAGGAGAGGTTTGAGGGACTCATAAGTGGAGTCAACAATTGATATTTTTTCTCTTCTAAGTTTAGTTTTTCTAGACCACTACTCTCCGGACAGTAGAGTTTGGGCAGAAACTTCTACAGGTAGTTTTTCTTGTTCTTCGTTTTTCAATGCTTTGGTCCGACTTAGCCCGGTTTCCTCTTTTCCTGTTAAAGAAGTTTGGAGCGCTCCTGTCCCCCCAAAAGCAAGGGCTTTTTTGTTGGGAAGTGTTTCTCCAAAAAATAAATACCTTGGAGGTGCTTCAAAGAAAGAGACCAAATCGGTGCTTGTCACCTCATGTCTGTAGCCTTTGTTTGAGGAATGGTGAGACGGTGAATCACCTATTAATTTCTTGTCTTTTTAGTGCTCTAATTTGGGATTGGTTCTCCTCTCTCTTTGATTGTAGGTGGAATCCTCACACAAGTGTAGCGGATTTATTTGACCCTAGCTTTTTCCGACAACCAAAGAAGAAAGGAAGGGTGATGTGGAGAACCACGAGGGCAGCTATCTTGTGGGCAGTATGGGAAGAGATAAACAATAGGATTTTCCAAGGGAAAGAAAAATCAGCTCCTGAAGTTATTGAAGGGATCAC